ACCCAAAAAAAAAAAAAAAAAAAAAGAAATATTTTAGTAAGTTGACTTCTTATTCCTACTATATTGGATGTCTGAATAATGTTTTTCTTTACAAAGAAAATTATAAGTTGACAATCATCCTTTTGACTATAAAATTTTTGCAACTTATCTTTGTTAGCACCAGAGTAGCAAGTTATTAAAGTTATTAAACACTTTTTGACTCAATAATGAGAAGTCTGAATTTATATAATGATGAGTACAATTTATCCATGTTGTCTGAAGAATAAGTAAATGAGGAATACATTCAATCACTACTGCAGAGCTCTGTATAATTCTTAATTGATACGTTATTCTGTATGAGGTGTTTCTATTTATTTTTAATTTCTTAACATTTCTATTTTGACATCTGTTCTTTGTTTGCTATTTTAGGCAAGTTGCTTTGGCAGATATCATTCTCATCAATAAAACAGACTTGGTTCCAGAAGAGGATTTAAACAAATTACAAACAAAAATTAGGTACAAAACTATAAGTGTGTTAAGTACCTACAAATCCCTATTGTACTATACAAAATATTTTTACCATGACTAATCCTGTAGAAACATAAGGTTACTTCAAAAACCATTAAGGAATCACATATTTTGTTGTTGGCTAATTGACTGTTATATCAATAGTAATATATAAAATTAATCCCCATTGCATGCAGAATATGGTTCAGAATATCATTGATATTCAGGGTCCTCTGACTCCTTCTTTTTCTGTCTTGTCTTTGATGTTTTCCTAATGTCAGACTTTGCTAACTTTACCCAGGATGGTTAATTTACTTTTCCATGGATGTGTCTTGCCAAAACCGTTCTTATAATGTGTTCTCTCTGCCAATCCCGGAATTCCTTTATGTTCTTTTTCTTGCTTTTTAAAAGCAGTTGTATTTCTTTTGTAGAGCCTATTCTCTCTCTCCTTCCCCCTCCTATATGGCATCTTTCCTGATTCGGGTGGTCTCACTTTTCCCTGAATCCTCATTGACTTTATGTGTTCCTTAACTGTCAATTATGCCTTGTCTTCCAGCTTGCTTTAATATCATTAGTGTTCATTGCCAAGGTTGATCAATTAGGACAATATGAATTATACTCAAATATGGGTTATCAGTCATTTTGCTGACTGTTCTAAAGATTCCCATTCCTTTTGAAAACAAAGATAGACTTTTCAGATGAGGTTAGAGCCTTTGTTTTGAGTTATTTTATAAGACCTGAACTAATAAATGCCCTATACAGAAAGACATGCAGTAGCTTTTTATTACTGGTTATTTTTAATGTGTTGGCTCAAAATGATCATTTATAGTATTTATAACTTCTATTGACATCAGACTTAGAATCTGTCATGCCAGCTTATAAAGTATATGTTATAAATCGAATCACTAAAGGTAAGACTCATTAGGAGATTGTTTGCAATGATTAATTATGGAAGAAATTCACACTTTTTCCATATACTTGATCTTATTTTTAATAGTAAAATCCTTAAACCTTACTATAAGAAATTATAATGTCTTCATGTGGAGGGCAGATGGTGTTGCATAGTATGTAAGAACACATGAATTTGCTTGGGTTCTAATCCTTGATCTGTTTCTCACTGTGTTCTTAGGGAACTTATTTAACCTTTTAAAGCCTCATCTGAAAAGGAATATACCTGTTTCATAAGTTTGCTTTGAGTATTGCATGAGACAATGTTGGTAAACTTTACACAGTGCTGGGCACATATTAAGTGCTCTGTTAACTTTATTGTGATTATTATAATTTTTTTCTTAGCTTACATACTAAATTCATATAAGTGAGTAAAAAAGAAAAGAAAGAGAAAAATGGCTGATATTTTTGAAAAATCTAGAAAGGTAAAAGGAATGAATAAAGCTTATTTTTACTTATTTTATTCTAGTCTTCCTTTTTTTTTTTTTAAGTTGGAGTCTCACTCTGTTGCCCAGACTGGAGTGCAGTGGCTGCTCCCGACCACCGCAGCCTCAACCTGCTGGGCTCCGGCGATCCTTCCCCCTCAGCCTTCTAAGTAGCTGGAACTACAGGCGCGCGCTACCACGCCCGGCTAAGTTTTTGATTTATTGTAGAGATGGGGTCTCACCAAGTTGCCCAGGCAGGTCTCAAACCCGTGGACTCAGGCAATTCACTCATCTCAACCTCCCAAGGCGCAGGATTACAGGCTGAGCCATTGAGCCTGTAATCTATTTTTGTTTCTCTTTTCAGAATCTTGTACACCATTGTGATTGCTAGGAAGAACATAATCTATCTAGCAAACATTTTTGGCATAAAAGGAGGATTGTTATTACTTGACTTTTATATCCTCATATTGACTATCTAAGCTGAATCTCTGATACTGGCAATACTATTAAGCAGCTTGTCAACAGTACCAGAAAAGAATTTGGAAGCAGCAGTTTAATAAATTATAGACCCCTTTGGCTTTTACCCTCATTTCTATCAGACTTGTGGTATTGAAAGAAGGTAAACGTGCTTGAGAGGAAATAGCAATCAGATTACAGAGAATATTCAAAAAAGAAGATTAAGAATTTTGTAAAATAGTGGAGTGATTTTTGCCTTAGAGTCATTTTATATGGGAAGCCTTACCATAAGAACAAGTCTGAACAAGTAGCAGGTATATGGGGCAAGTAACCCTAAAGACAGTGGAATTGATGGTATAAAGATAGGTAAATGGGTTATACAGTATGTTGAAAAGGTTTTAACAGGTACTTTTTGGTGCTATAAAAAGAGAGCCATATTCTGTTATTTTAATATTTAAAAAAGGAAGACAGGCATAATGAGTAGAGAGATTAGTTGGGGAACTGAAGAGATTATTATGTAAAGGAACCTGGGATGTCTGACTTAAGAGTTAGTTACTGTGAATTATGAGGACAAGTTGGTCAAAGCCACTTATGACTAGATATTTATTTTTACTGTGTGTGTAGCCATTTTGACATTGTGGTCCTGGGGAAAAATTTGGCTACCAAGAAACATGTCTACTCATTTTAAGGACACTAGAAATGGCCAGGTGTGGTGGCTCACATCTGTAATTGCAGCACTTTGGGAAGCGGAGAGGAGAGGTTTGCCTGAACCCAGAGGTTCGAGGCCAGTCTGGGCAACTTGGCAAGCCCTGATCTCTACAATAAATTAAAAACAAAAACAAAAACAAAATCCCCACTAGAACTACTGGCTACTTATGGATCATTTTTTCTAAAATGAAGTATCTTTTTATTAATTACAAAGTAGCCCCTAATTTGTCAATTCTGCAGTCGAATTTTTGCATATCTTGTTTTCTTAGTGTATAAGTGGAGTATACCTGATTTATAGTTTGAAGGAAAAGAACAATTAGGTTATGTTAAAAAGTAATTTTTGATTTCTATTTTTAGTTTTTTTCGAGTTCCAGATATGTTTCTCTCTGTTTCAGAAATAATGTGCTTTATATCTTTTTAAGTTAATATTTACTTTTTTAACCCTTTCTTCATTTTGTTTCTTATTTCAGATCCATAAATGGACTAGGAAAAATTTTAGAAACACAAAGATCAAGGTACTTTTAAAAAAAACTATTTCTAATACTAGCAACAGATAATTTTAGTTATAGTAATAATAAACATTAAGTAATTGATAGATATGCTTGATTCTAATATAAGAAAGATATAGGTACATTTATTTTAAAAAGGGTAGCCAAAAATACTGTTTTAAATGCTCTTTATAAATTTGTTTGGCATATTTAATTAATACATTTGCCTTTCTTTATAACTAAGTCTACAGAACCCTGAGAACACTATCTAAACTGTGCTTTTGCTTAATTAGGAAAACAGAACTTTCAGCCACTCAAGAGGGCAACTCAGTACAGAAATCAGAAAAAGTAGACTGAGGAATCTTAATTTGAGGTTTTTAATATTTTAGAAAACTTCTTAGTGTTTTGTAGGTACCAAAAAATATGTCGTATAAAAATGCATGTAATCTTTACCTTTAAGCTTCTGATAACTATTTTATTAAGTTTTGATTTTCCATTTTTTGTAGATTCTCTTTTTATTCTGTTCATACAAATGTGCATTACTTTATAAAATAGATGTGCTCTTAAAACATCTGTGAAATGTATTTCTGTAGATTAATCTCTGTTTTTCATTTAATACTATCATGATTTCAGAAAAATTTCTGTGCTGGGTATTTTATTAAGCTTACTTTTTGGTGAGAAAGACTCAGCAGCTGATAAACCAACAATAGGCAGCCAGCAGCTCTGAGGTTCGCAGCTGGCAGTCTAGTGCCACCCAGTCCCTAGCTGAGAGATTCTTTGCTTGGAAGTGCAGCAGAGGCCTTTGCAGAGCGGCTTGTCTGCTATGGCAGAGATTAGAAGTGCTGACAGATTGCCATAAGTGTGAGGCAGTAACAGCAGCAGCTGCTTATATGCATGTGAACAACTGGGGAATTAATTTGGTATGCATTCTCAGGAGCCACTCATCTGCTAGCAGAGGTGGCAGAAGAATGCCCTAAGCGTAGGTCCTCTATAAGGATACGCCAAATGTGCACCCTGCTTTTCAAATTCCAGTGTAGAAAATCTCTTATAATCTAACTTGGACCATGAGCATCTCAGAATCTACTTTCTTCTGTTAACAGTCTACATTTTCTTTCTCCTTAATTTTTCTCTTTACAAAGTGACACACAACTGCATAATACTTAAATAAGCTTTTAAAATCATGTCCATAAGTAGCTGTGGTTCTGTCATAATGGCATTTAATCAGTTCATATTTACAAACACTTTAAGTCAATTTTCTTTTGTTTTTATTTTGGAAATATTCATGTCCTGAATAAAGGTTTCATCTTGATTAGTTTGTTATGTAATCATTTTGTTTGTTTGACATTTCTAACATTTGCTCTGTTATAGAAAATAAAACATACAGTGATTTTTGTTATTTCAAATGAATGAGTGAACAACTGAATATCAAAATCCTTTTTCTTCTGTTTCTTCTGTTTATAGTGTTTACCAGTGCATCTGAGAATCTAGGAACTTTCTGAAATAGTACTTCTTTGCTATGAGGACTGAAGTTGGATTAGAATTCTTTTCAATAAAGATCAGATGTCTGTAATAGAATTCTTACTATTGAGTCATGAATCATATTAAATATTCAATCAAATTCCTAAATACATAGCCTTGAGTCAGGAAAATATTGACAGAGAAGGTGGTTATTGACCTGAGTAGTTGGAGTTTTCCAAATGGATTAGGGAAAGTAGGGATGACTTTCCAGGTATAAAGAAGATGTTGTATTCCTGTGAATATTTTAGAATGACCAGAATATATAGTACCGTGTAGCAGAAAGAAAAAGTGGTATGACTGAAGAGATAGAGAACTTACCACAAAGGGTCTTGAATACTGTGATAAATAGTTTGGATTTCTCCTGTAGGCAGCAAGGAGTTAGTGAAAGATTTAAAAAGCAGCATGATGCTTGAGAAGTGGATTCCATGTGGGGCTATTCTCTGAGGTATTTAGGAAATACAGGAAGAAGGAACAACTTGGGTGATGTGGTGGAAATACGTTTAGAAAATGTGATTAGTTCATTTTGTAAACATTTTTGAGTTTGAGGTGTTTGGAAATTTAGTTCTAGAGTTGAGGACTGAGCTACTGGACAGTAACTACAATTCGTGGATCTAGGACTGGCTGGTGCACCCTGTTTGTGGGATTTACTGGAGTTCTAAAAAATGACCATTAGAAAATATCCCTAGAGAAGCAGCTGCATTCCCAACCCCACCTCAAAGAGCCAGAAACCTCTTCCTTTTCACTCTTTAGACACAGGAGAAATTGAAAGCAGCTCTTCACAGAGAAAGATTAGGTACTCCTGGCAGAGAGAGTTCAGGAAATTGGGGAAAAAATTCAGAAAAATGAACTTCTAAAGTTTTTTCTACTCTTTCTTTGTTTACTTTATTGTCTCATTCAGTTTTAAAATGGTAATGGTCTTAAATTTTTTTTTTTCTATTTTGATGTTTTGTAAGAAATCTGATGTTTTTATCTTTGAAGGAGGAAATGAAATACATTCCATGCCATGGAAATAAGTTTTCTAGTCATTTGCCTTGAATGAATATAAAATTTCTCTTCAGTGACAGTACTAGATTTGGGGAAAGCTCATAGAAACTTTTATCTGGAAGTTTAGTCTTTTTCTCTTTTACCTTTCATTGAAAATTTGGTGAGAAGCTGACTTTTATTATTCTCTAGAAAAGAGTGTAACTTGTCATACAGATGTGTTACTGATCTTTTTTTGGAAACATCAAACAAATCTGGGTATAAGGCAGAATTATCTCTAGGTATTCTCAAGGACACTGTCATAGTTAAACAGTTTATTTAGAAGCTTATGTTTCAAAACTGAATTTGATATTCACAAAATTCGCATGTATAAACTACATTATACTTTAAGCTATTTTCTAAGGTAAAGATGATAAACTTGGGAGGAAACTTAATTCATTTGTGACCTATCAATATAAATATTTGCTCAACTGTGGGAGTGAAAAAGGAAATACGTTTAATGTTAAGACTTTCATCTCTTCGTGTAAATTGATATTTAAAAATTTCTTCATGGGACCTTTACTTCTTTGCTTGATCATTTTCCTAATTCTGCACATCTAGAATGTCCAGAATTTGAAATGTTGTTACAGACTATTAACATGGAATTTTGCAGTATTCTTTTAATAAGACAGGAATTTGTCTGTCTTGTGCCAAGATAAGCATTTGTAATCGAACAGCGTTGTTGCCATGAGTGTGAGTGTGTGACTGACTGTTGAAAATGAGCAAACAGGCACAGCTGGTCAGTCCTAAGTTAAAGAAGATGTTTTATCTCTCATGATTGTGCCTTTTTTTTTTTAAGCTTGAATCTGACAAATGAAGTTTTATTTTCCTTTTGAGAAAATTTAACAAATGTTTGGCAAGCTCTTAGAGTCTAACTTTGAAATTTAATTATACTTTTGCCATTTCCTTTAAACATTCCTTCATTTTACCTTTAAATATGGAGAAATCACTGTTCACTGCTGCTTTATGGGCTTACGTCAAAACTAGACCTCCATCACCAGTCTTTATAAATTTACTTTTATATTTTAAAATGAAATCTAATGCTAATTGTGATGCTATTCTCATCTGATTTGAATCATTGCACTCCTAATAAGGTTTAATTATCACTAAATAATTATAAGATAAATAATGTCTACCCCAATAGACCATTTACTGGGGTCACTCACTTCTTTTTACATGCTACCCCATTCTGAATGAATGAAGTTAAACCACATGTAAATAAGAGTCCCCAGTGACATGATATTTACACATTGGTTGTTGACTGCTCATAGTGAGAGGTAATAAAAGAAATACAAAATTCCAGAGGTGTTTGGAATATACCTGTACTACATGTTATTTCCATTTGTCATTTCTTTTGTTTCATCTTTAGAGTAATAGGCTGCTTGGAAAAATTTCAGTTCTTTAGCTGATTTTCTTTTTGTTATAAACATGTATACTAAAAGCTTATAAATTAAATTTCAGAGTTGAACAGACAATTGAAAGTAAAAAATAAAAAGCTACAGTTTGTTGAGCCAATAACCAAGTAATTTTCAGCCTCGATCCTCTTATATCATCCTCTTGCTCTTATGAATTTTATGTACAAAAATTTTAAGAGTTAGATTTTTTTTCTTGATTAATTGGATATATCTCACAGAATTTCCAACTTGTTCACTTTGGCTTGCTTTCTTTTAGAGTTGATCTCTCTAATGTATTAGATCTTCATGCTTTTGACAGTATCTCTGGAATAAGGTACATTTTCTGTATTTTGATTATTGTTATTGTTATGCACCTTTTGTTCCATAGTTACTGGAATAATTTATACCACTGTGCCCTTGATTTAAGCTTCCTGCCATTCATTTGGCATATAGGCCAATCTTAAAGAGTTGTGTTCTCAAAAATTTTGTTAACTGTTTAGAAATTATGTGTTTTCTTATAGAAATTATAGTATAAATGAATAGTTACTTTAGAGACTAATCATGAATATTTCTATACCAACTATTATGTTTAGTACTTTTTCCATGAGAAAATGCATAGAATACATAGCAAGACCTTATTGCTACAAAAAAATTTAAAAATTAGCTGGGTATGGTGATGTGTACCTGTAATCCCAGCTACTAAGGAGGCTGAGGTGAAAGGATCACCTGGGCCCAGGAAGTCGATCTGTGGTGAGCTGTCATGCCACTGTATTCCAGCCTGGCCAATAGAATGAGACTGATTTAAAAAAAAAACAAAACAAAAAAACCACATTTAGTAATTTAACATGAGCTTGAGGTGCTCATACAAAAAACTCTCTTTCTCTTAATGATTGATTAGTGTTCTGCCTCCTTCTCTAGGAAACTTCTGTGATAATGGAGAGAAGAAAGATTAGTTATTCCTGGACATCAGTATCTTTTTAAAAAAATTGTAATAAGAACACTTAGCTAACTGCGGTGGCTCATGTCTGTAATCCCAATGCTTTGGGAGGTTGAAGCAGGAGGATTGCTTGAGCCTAGGAGTTCGAGACCAGCTTGGGCAACATAGCAATACCTTCCCTCTATAAAAGTGACAAAATAAGCCAGGCTTGGTGGCATGCACCTGTAGTCCCAGTGATTCTGGAAGCTGAGGTGGGAAGATTCCTTGAGCCCATGAGTTTGAAGCTTTAGTGAGCCATGACCGAGACACTGTATTCTAACCTGGGTGACAGAGTAAGATCTCAACTAAAAAAAAAAAAAAATTGCTAATTATGAGCACTAGGACAACATGAAAACACACATAATAAGGGAAAAACAAAATACACATTTTTGCCTAGGTATCATAGCAAGACCTCATCTCTACAAACAAAACTAGAAATTAGCTGGGTGTGGTGGTGTGTACCTGTAATCTCAGCTACTAAGGAGGGCCTAAGAGGTCGATCTGTGGTGAGCTGTCATGCTACTGTATTCCAGCCTGGGCAACAGAATGAGACTGATTCAAAAAAAGAAAAAAAGCACATTTAATAATTTAACATGAGATCTTCCCTCTTAGTAAGTTTAAGTGTACAATACAGTATTGTCAACTATAGGTATGATAATGTGCAGCAGATCTCTGGAACTTAGTAATCTTGTGAAACTGAAACTTCATACCCATTGAAGAGCATCTCCCTATTTCCGCCTCCCCCTAGCCCTGACAACCACCATTCTACACTCTGCTTCTTTGGATTTGACTGTTTTTTAATTACCTGAAATAAGTGAAATCATGGAGTATTTGTCCTTCTGTGACTGACTTCACTTAGCGTAATGTCCTCAAGCTTCATCCAGGTTGTCACATATGGCAGAGTTTTCTTTTTTAAGGCTAAACAGTATTATGTTTTATGTATGTAACATTTACTGTATCCATTTATCTGTTGGTGAACATTTAGGTTGTTCTCACATCTTAGTTATTGCAAATAATGCTGTAGTTACTATCTTTTAAGTCTCGTACATGTTCATATGAGATCATGAAAACGAACACCTCACTGAGTATGAGTATTTTGAATTGGTGAGGCAACTTTGCTTAAGGGTAGATGTGGTGGGTGTTTCTATACTTGAGACTTCTATTTCCCATATATATATGTGTGTGTGTATATATATGTATGTATGTAGGTATATATATATATTTGTAATTTTACTTTAGCCAAACCTTTAAAAACTAATTCTATTTTCAACTAGTTTTTTCCTCCTCAATCTGTAGTATCGTTCACATTTTTAAAAAAGCATCTAGAGTCACCTGTGAGGATAAAGCATGATATTGTGTTTTTTTGGTTTGTTTGTTTGTTTTGAGTCAAGTCTCACTCTCCTAGGCTGGAGTGCAGTGGCATGATCACAGCCCATCACAGCGTCAACCTCGTGGGCTCAAGTGGTCCTCCAGTCTCAGCCTCCTGAATAACTGAGACTACATGCCTGTACCCTCATGCTCTGCTAATTTTTTTGTTTTTAGTTTTTGTAGAGACAAGGTCTCCCTTTGTTACCTAGGCTGGTTTAGAACTCCTGGGCTCAAGCATTCCTCTCGTCTTGGCCTCCCAAAGTGCTGGGAGTACAGTGTGAGCCACCATGCCTGCCCTGATACTGTTTTTTTGTTGGATCCCTTTTACCATTTAAATTGAAGACCTAGAGGTATGGGATAGGCAGAGCCATTATCTCCTCAGAAACTGAAACTCAGAGAGTGAACTTGTACATAACAGTAACAGTCTAGAAGTCTTCAATTGAAAGCTATTTATTTCACCTCGGTGACAGTGTCAGTCTAAGAAGTCAAGTCTTCCATTGAGAGCTGTTTATTGACTCGTAGTCTCTGATGTTGAGGCAGCACGTTTTTAGAGTAAACGTATAACAGGTTAAAATTACAAAGATATTTTTAGGGAACTGGGGGAAAAAATCATTTGCCTTTCTTGTTCCAGTAAGTAGGAAGGCAGGAAAGTTTGATATGCTGAATTACTTATGATTTCTGTTTTTTAAAAATTTTTATAAGTTGCACAAAGCTTAAGGTGACTCCTTGTTGCTTTATGGTAGAAATAGTTATTTCTTTTCAGGCCATCCTGTACAAAGTTGTAAAATCTCCTTTCAGCACCTTGAACCTTTTCTCTCATGACAACTTTAGGTACCCAGGATCACCTATTCTTGATAATGATTGATTATGTTGTATGAAAACACTTCAGAATTACACTAAGTTTTTTCATAGAAAGCTTTTGTGTTTCTAATTTTGAAATGAAAGACTTTTCTACCCTTTAAGTCAATATGGCCCTAAGTATAAACTTGTTTATTCACTTAAAAATGGTCTTTTTTTCTTTTTCATTCTGGCTTTATTAGGGAGATAGGTTGGCATTCGAGTTTTTGCTTTTGCTACCCATGTCTGAAATGACCAGAAGTCTATCCCATGCTAGCCGTTGTCATTTCGATCCTTTTCTTTTTAGTCCAAGGCTCTAGTACATTTCATTTGAGTATTTAATGTGGTTTCATTAGTTAACCATGATCCATTTCTCTCATCCTTCACATCTGGCTCAGAATATATTATTTTATTTGATGCTATGGGCAGTTTTGATGGTTACAGATTCTGTGATACATTCAAATGTGTTTGCAAAGGGGAAAATGAGACAATATTAGGTGAAATTGGCCTTTCTTAGTTCTAAATTTATCTCTTTTGGGTCCAAGAGCTTGCAAGTTGGTTGTCATTTAATTTGTAAAACACTAAAATATTTCTTAGTTGAAACCTTTGTCTTTTCTCATCATACATTGTGGTGTCCTTTAGTATTTTATTCTTAAAATAAGAATTACAGTATGAACTCATTTCCTACTTTGATATTCAGTATATCCGTTTTTGTTTTTTTCTTTTGTCTTACGTCTTTTGCTATAATTTGTTGTGATACTGGTACTTTCATCAAAGTGTTCGTTCTTTATATCATTCTATTTTGGGGGGAGAAATAGAAATGTTGCTAGTTCTAGTTTACTGTGGCAGTAACTAAATTATTGGGGTTTTTTTTTAGAACATTATGATTTATATCTAAAACACTAAACTATTTTAGATTTATACACTGTGTTAGTATAGAAACAAAAATTGTTACAATATTACAAGTTAATGAGAAAAATGAGAATTCTGATGCATGAATTTCAGGTTTTGGTAACATACTTGTTTATGAAACTAGATTACACGTTTTATTTGTATGATAGAGAATAAATTAAGGGCATACAATTCTGAGACTTACTAGGAACTAAATTTAAATGTTCATTGCTAAATTTTTGACTTTGCTGCCTATGAAGTTTTAAGCAGTACTGTCCAACAACATTAACTATTGAACATATGGGAAAAACTTGATTTTTCAAAGATTTTCTAAAGTTATCCCATTTGACACTTGAGCAGTTATAATGCTTTAGTGACACTTAAAGACGTAGATATTTAATGTGATCTCACCCCTGTAGATAAGGCGTTTGCATAACTTTTTTTGTGCTTAGCAACTAAGCTGAAGAATCCTTTCCTTAGCAACCAGCTGGGAAGGATTTAATTTGACACTCTCCCTACTCTGACCCCCCAGTGAGACTCATTCCCTCCAACAGTTCCTGCAAGCCCTTTCTCTTTCCTAAACTTGTGGCCACCAATTTACCCCTCACTGTTCTTAAGGGCAAAACATCTGCAAGGTTTTAAGCCCTTTCCCCCTCCTATTCTGTCCCCCATCAGTGTCTAAATGTATGCTACAGTTGTTATGGTTGTAATTTGTTATGCCATATTGATCTTCCTGTTCTTTTCATATCAGAACAATGCATTTTTAAGATTCTGACTTTTTGTTTTCTTTCAACTGGTAACTGACAATATAGAAGATTTATATTTATGGATACCATTTGTTTTTAACTAATAGATATGTTCAAGGGACCGCATTGATAAAGGAACATTTACCCTTCTAGCCTTTTTCAGGTGCCAGCATTATTTTTTTATGATTGTGTATATTTTTCTAAACCTGTATTCAACCTATTTGGTAAACCTACTAACATATTTAGCCATATGAAATAGTGTTGCTAAAAGATTATCTTTTCTCCTTATTGTGTATATATGTATGTATGTGGATGTGTATGTATTTTTAAGAAATTTTTATAATACGCAATCTGCCAGCTTTTCTCTATTAGAGTTTGTGAACGGCATGTAATATTGCAACTATGGAATAGATTCAGTTATAGAAAGTCTCTTTTTTATTTAGCTTTGTGTTGCTAAATAATGTGTAAAGTTAAATCAGAAGTGTATTGATCTTTGAATATATAATCAGTTGTTCTTAGTTTGCAGAAAAAACTTGAACATATTCCAGCAACACAACCTCATCTTGATCAGGTAAAAAAAAATCTTAAAAAATGTTCTTGAAGTATCTCTTTATCTAAGTTGGCTATGTTTAGGACTTTTTTATTAGAACTCTCTGTAAAATGTTGTTTTTGAACTCTGGTTTTCATAATTTGGAATGCATTTGAGATCATCTGATCCTACTTCTTCGCACTTAGTAGCAATTCATCAAGCCAGAGTTGTTTAGAATCTTAAGAAATGGTGCTCTCTAGCCTCTCCGTTCTGTAGGACACTCAGCATATTTTGATCAGTCCTGATGGGAATTACTATTTAAAAACAGCCTAGGGGGGTGATATGCAGTCTATTTAACTATGTTGAACTAACTGATTAAGGAGAAGTCTGGTATACACATGGTTTATTTAAATAAAAATTGACTTTGAGCTTTGCCTTTAGGTAGCACTAAATTTGAACTCCTTAAAGTGTTTTTCATACTCTAAAATTCTAATCCCTAAGGTTATGTTTAACATGCTAGGAACAAACTAAATATATTTTCACAGTACCCCTGTTTCTGTAAAGTACATCTTAGCATAGATCATAGAACTTAAGATAACTTCTTTGTTTCATTTTAAACTCTGGAGGAGTGAGGTGGGGTAGGGTGGATGTGTGAGTGAGCAGTGTGCCTGGTTTTTCTCCTCTTTCTGGGAGTGATCACAGAGTTCTTGAATTATTTGTAATAGTTGTAATAGGGCCAAGGTAAAAGGCCACTTGTTCTTTTCTTTTTTATTTTTTAGTTGGTGTCTCACTCTGTCACCCAGGATGTAGGGCAGTGGCATGATCACTGCACTCACCGAAGTCTGGACCTCCTGGGCTTAGGCCGTTGCTTCTCAGTTTCCCAAGTAGCTGAGACTACAGGCATGCGCCATCACACCCAACTAATTTTTTATTTTTTGTAGAGACAAGTCTAGGTTGATCACAAACTCCCGAGCTCAAGCAGTTCTCCTATTGTTTCCTCCCAAAGTGCTGGGATTACAGGTGTCAGCTATCACGCTCTGCCCATTTGTTAATTTGTATCCATTTTAGCTCATATTTATGGGGAGCTATACTAGTATGTTATGGCGTCTTTCTCTGAGAAACTTATTTTAATAGGATATGCATCTTCATCTATCTTTAAAATTAGTGAATGGGAGAAATACAAGTCCTCAGATAGAATTTTTCAAAGAAATTAGCTATTTATGATAGTCAATATCAGTCATAAAAATGACCTTTTAGCACATTCTTACTTAGCTCTTGGGTAAAGGACATTATACTAGGAGTCATAGAGTTTAACAAATGTAGAAAATGTAGTACTCATTAGAACATATATAGTGGCCAGTATCTACACCCATAGTATTTTGAATGTATTCCTATCATGGCATTTATAGTGCCTTGCAGTTTGTACTGAAATGTTTTTCCCTTACATTAGTCTATAAATTACTTAAATAAAAACTCTTCATTGCTTAGCACAGGGCTTGGTATGTGACAGGTGCTTAGTGAATATTTGCTAAAAGAATGAAAAGCTATGACTCTCAAATGTGTATAAATCAGCATCACCTATAGAACTTTTTAAAAAAAATTAGATAGTTAGTGTCCCTCACTCCTCAGTCTCCAGGATTGGGGCTTGGGTATGTGCGTATTTATGTGTATTTTTAACATTTTATTATGGAGATTTTCAGAGATACACAAAAGTAAATAAAATAGTAATATAAACACCTTGTATGTATCACCCAGTTTAAATGGCATCAACATTTTCCCAGTTTTATTTCATCTGTCCTCCCAACATTTATTTTGCTGGAGTATTAAAAATATTTTTAACAGAAAATTTTAGATTTACATAAAAGTAGGATAGTATAATTAGCCTATATGTACGTATCACCCTTGCTGGAGTGTGTTAAACCAAGTCCTAGACATTATGTCATTTTACCAATAAATACAGTGTGTCCATATTTTTTAAGATCTACAGGAGATTCTTATGCACTTTCCTGCTTTAGATAAATAAATATAGGGCAAAATGTAGTATCACAGATAAAGGGTCACAGGATTCAGGGGCATGGACCATCTCATTTGGTTTCGTGGCTCTGAGGTATACAGGAGGAAATATATCTTTTCCTTACCCATCACTAGATTCATGGCTTAGGTCTGTGTAACAAGATACATCAACAAGAGAAAAGCACTCAAAATTTTATTTAGTAAGTTTTACATGAAATGAAAGCCTTCATAAGGAAATGGAGACCCGGAAAAAAAAAAAAAAGGATAAACCTGTCCTGTGTATTTTTTATATTAGTTATGATATAGAAGTGGAAAGTCATGGAAAAGTATAACTGGATAAGAAAATATAATCTAATGGTTATAAACTAAATGGTTATTTGTTCAGATTTTCCTCCATGACCCCTTTGTCTTTAGAGATAAGGATGTTCCTTTCCTTTGCGTATAGGGAGGGCAACGAGAGTCTGATGATGTGTCTCAGGGGAAAAAGGTAGGAGAAGGTAAAAGTGACCTTCCTACCGCTGCTACTTTCTCAAATATTGAGGTGCCATATTTGGGTTAGTGTGCCTGAACTCCAGCAGAGGCTTCATGAAAGATAATTGTTTTATATGTATATATACACACATATATATAAAAGCTTGCAAGTTTTTAGTGTACAATTCAGGTATCTTTACATATATTTGTATCTGTATATCTGTCTTGTGTGCACACAAACACATATCCTTGTAACTCTCACTCAGATCAAGATATAAAGCAGCAGTCCCCAACCTTTTGGGGACTGGTTTCATGGAAAACAATGTTTTCATGGACCAGAAGGTGAGGAGGATGGTTTCGGGATTATTCAAGCACATTACATTTATTGGGCACTTGATTTCTATTATTATTACATTGTAGTATATAATGAAATAATTATACAACTCACCATAATGCAGAATCATTGGGATCCCTGAGCTTGTTTTCCTGCAACTAGATAATCCCATCTGGGGCTGATGGGAGATAACAACACCTGAAGTATGTTGCTTATGTCCAGTATACTCCATAAACTGGTTGCTGTCACTGCAGGAAACTCTGCTTCACAAAGATAGGATGTTGGAAATTGAAGCAGGCTTTTCAGTGCTTTGGTGGCAATCTCAGGATATTCCGCCCTGACTCTAATCCAGAACATATGGAGATTTGAAGTTGTAGCAAAAATACTTTTAAGGCCACTGTTATTTGCAGTCTCAAGCAGTTGATCCTCTTCTAGCATGTATGCCGGAGACCAGCTCCAGCCGGGTTCAGGGTACCCCAAAGGTAGAGACGGCGTCAGTGACTAGGGGGAAGAAGAAAGAGAGAAAGAGAGAGAGAGAGAAAGAAAGAGACTGGACTCCAGTCTAGTGCAGAAGCCGTTTAATGGAAATTACATTAAACGGTCTTTTATACACAGTCGGGTATGTGAGGGGCGTTCCCCACCCACCGGATGTTCTTTCAGGTATAATTCCATAACCTAATTGATGAAACCTTAATCCATTTATTCAACTTCAATAAATCCTAAGATCATGACCCAGAAGCCTGTGACCACCAATACTAAGGCTCTTAGATGTGACCCGAGTTTGAATTGTAAGTTGTGTGAAAGCCAAAACTGCAGTTTGTGGAAGAATGGGAGCAATGCGCTTCTAAAGTTAGCTTGTGTTCGTCCCGGTCTCAGAGTTTTTATGTTTGGAGTTCACAGGAGCTTAATCTGGTTAGTGCTGAGTAGAAAGGAGGAGGAAATGGGGTCAATAGCTCCCGGACGCATCCTAGTGGTCTCGGGGTCAACGGCCCATCCTGATCCCTAACACTCAGTGGGCCTCCGTGGCCGGCTCCCAACACATGTACAAAGTCAATTCACCTGCTTATTCACAAATGGGTGGCGGATCCATTCTTTGCCAGCTCGGGGGTCTCTTGTGGTTGGGAAGTAATGCTCAACTCTTTTGAAAACTGAGATAAGCGATCATGCACCAGCTAGTAGAAAGAAGGCCCTGGCTCGGTCTCTTTTAAAATTTCTGCTAATGCTTGAAACATGCCAAAAAACCAATGTTCACTCATCCCCCACATAATTCCAGTTTGACTTTGAATATAGTCATTTTATCTGCCAACGTGAACACAGTTGTTGCTCTCCCTTGAAGTGACAGATTGAGTTTGTTGAGCAGGTTGAATATAAGTCACACAGTAAGCAAGTTTTGTGACCCATTCTGTGTCATTGAGACGTGCTGCCAGTGGTGACTGTTCTTCTTTTTTCTTTTCTCTTTTTGAGTCGGAATCTCACTCTGTCACCCAGGCTGGAGTGCAGTGGCACGCTCATGGCCACTGCAGCCTCAACCTGCTCTGTTCAGGCAATCCTTCCGCTTCAGCCTTCCAAGTAGCTGAAACCACAGGCTAGTGCCACCACACTCAGCTATTTTTTGTTTGTTTGTTTGTTTTTTTGAGTTGGAGTCTCATTTTGTCACCCGGGCTGGAGTGCAGTGGCCGCTCCCGGCCACCACAACCTTGACCTGCTGGGCTCCAGTGATCCTTCTGCCTCAGCCTTCCAAGTAGCCAGAATTACAGGCATGCGCTACCATGCCCGGCTGATTTTTTGATTTATTGTAGAGATGAGGTCTCACTGCCCAGGCAGGTCTCGAACCTGCGGGCTCAGGCAATCTGCTCACCTCAGCCTCCCAAAGGTGCGGGATTACAGGCTGAGCCACCGAGCCCGGCCACTCAGCTATTTTTTTTAAAATTTATTGTAAAGACAAGGTCTCACCAATGTGCCCAGGCTGGTCTCGAACCTGTGGGCTCAGGCAGTTCTCTCGCCTCCATCTCCCAAAGTGCTGGGATCACAGGTGTGAGCCACCACGCTTGGTGGTGACTGTTTTTCTAAAATAAATCTCTGGAGCAGTTCTTATAACTCAAAAACTTTGACCAGTGATCTACCTTTAGAAAACCATCCTACTTCTGTGTATAAGAGAAGATGTGTGGGCTCTGTGTCCATCTCCTCACAGAGCTGCACAAACAGACATGAGTTAAGGGCATGTACTTTAATGTGGTTGATAATTTTAATCAAATCCTGTAAAACGTGGTTAAGTTTAGATGACATTTTCAGCTAGCCAGCATTTCTCTGTGAATGACACAGTGCATAGACTCACACTTAGAAGTGACCTCTTTGACCCAAGTAGTGACACTAGGAAGCCATCTAGTTGTGGCAGCCGCTCTGTCTGTGCATATACTGACACAAAATGACCAATTCAGTGCTTCTGATATGTAATCATTCAAAGACTTTGATAGTTCAGCAGCTGTGATATTGGTTGGCAGCAAAAGTGCACATAACATATCCTATGCACATCCTCCTTAAAAAGAGGTATCACACAAAAACAAGTGTTGTTGTCAACATCAGTAGACTCATCAACCTGGATTGCGTTCCATAGTAATTCATTAACCCTTCCTAGCAATTGTGCCTCAATATCTTCTGCTATTTCATTAGCATGTCTAGTTATGGTGCTAGCTGAACCAGGAACACATGCCACCTTTTGAACTGAAGCTTCTCCTAAAAGTTCATGACATATGTCCTTAGCAGTAGGCAGGATCAACTCTTCACCAATAGTAAAGGGCTTATTAGCTTTGGCATTGAGGTTAATCACTAAGAATGATACTCTCAGTGCAGACACATTTGATGAAGTGTGGCCTTCAATAATTGCTTCTGTTCTTTATATTCATGCTTGCTTTCTCTCTCTCTCTCTCTCTCCAAAGGCTTGTTTTTTTAATGCAGGGTGCTTGATCTCCATGTGGCGAAGCAGTTTTGAAGGTTTCATGGCTTTGGTAGATAGCCAGTTGCTACATATTGTACAAAGCAGGCTTGGAGACTGTGAATCACCTGTTGCAATGAACCTATAATTTAAGTAGAACTCTTGACATTTTCTTTTAAATGCAGCTTTCTTTTTGTTGGCAGTCTTAGAGTGTTCTGCTGTCTTTGGGTCTTTCCCCCTTTTCAAAGAAGCTCTCCAGTGACATTTGTTTTTTACTCATTTTGGTTACAGTTAGTTTGTCAGTTTACCAAAACTGTGACTGAGACATTTGTGCAGTGCAGGACAGAGGTATGGATGGAAGTGGTAAATAAAATAATGGGCGGGATAATAATAATGCATGCACAGACTAAAATGAGTGTTGAATTCTGACTTAAAGCCTGCCACCAGATGCAGCTGTACAATTAAAGTACATCAACTCACTTACCACTCACTGATAGAATTTGGATATGAGTCTGCAAGCAATTGATTATTATGGTTTCTGTGCAGTCAAACCTCACTGCTGATGTTAGTCTGTATTTGCATCCACTCCCTAGTGCTAACATCACTGTCTTAGCTCTACCTCAGATCATCAGGCATTAGATTCTCATAAGGAACACATACCTTAGATCCTTTGCATGTGCAGTTTACAATAGAGTTTGTACTCCTTTGAGAATCTAATGCCACTGCTGATCTGACAGGAGGCTGTAATGCGAGCAGTGGGGAGTGACTGCAAATACAGATGAAGCTTTGCTCACCTGCCACTCACCTCCTATGTTACCCATTTCCTAACAGGTCATAGACTGGTACTGGTCTGTTGCCCGGGGGGGTAGAGTCCCCCGATATAAATGATTTCCAAAATTTGCCCCTTCCCAAAGAAGGGGTAACTGCTATTTTGACTTATATGCCAGAAAATAACCTTGAACTGTTAGGGGTTTTGGGGTAGGAAGAAGTAAGGAAACTAGCAATCCAGATATTTAAAACAGTTTTCCAGATGAGCAAGTCTCTAGTACAGAAGTCTTAGTGGACGGTTAGTACAGGAATCCTGGCCTAAGGGTTTTACTTTACTAGGCAAAGGGAGCTCATGCTGTGCTACCTGGTAGTTCAGCAATAGGCTGTACGTGTTTGTGGCCTAGGACTAATAGGCTATGTCATATAGCCTAGGTGTGTAGGATACTGTCCCATCTAGATTTGTGTACGCATACTCTGTGATAGTTACACAATGACAGAATCACCCAATGATGCAATTCTCTGTACGTGTCCATGACTATACTTTTAAAATCATTTAAAACCCCACTTAATATGAGATCTACCCTCTTCTCAAATTTTTAAGTGCATGATACATATTGTTAACCGTTGTGCAGTAGAACTTTCTCATCTTGCATGACTAAAACTATACCCATTTAACATCGATTCCCCATTTCTTCCTCTCTTCAGCCCCTATTTGCCAGCATTTTACCTTCTGATTCTATGAGCTTGACTATTTAGATACCTGATATAAGTGGAATGATTCAGTATTTGTACTTCTGTGACAGGCTTATTTCACTTAGCATAATGTCCTCAAGATTCATCCATGTTATAGCATATGACAGGATTTGTTTAAGACTGAATAATATTCCATGGTTTGTGTATGCTGCATTTACTTTTTTAATCTGTCCATGGGCATGGTGGCCATTTAGGGTTTTTTTTACCTTTTGAGTGTTGTGAAAAAATTAGTACTTTTAACTTTTTAAAGTTTCACATTTTAAAGTACCACTTGAAACTTCTTTTAAGTTACCTTGTACCTCTCATATCAAGCAAGAAAGCACTGTCTGCTTTTCCTACTACTACTAACAACAGAGATTAAATGTCGAATGTATTTGTGCTTAAGTTGGTCTTTAATACTAACTTTTAGCTATTCTGTAAGTTTGAATGAACAGTTTTGATTTTTTTCATATTTTCTATTGTAAGCCTATATGATTTTCTAATGGTGAGTAAAATTGCTAGGCCAGATACACAGTTCTAGGAAGTCATGCAAAGCTGTGCTTTAGTGTATTCTTTCTGCTTGTTTTAAGCCATTTTGAGCTTGGCTTTTGGGCCCCATATTATGAAAGGTGGGGTTTGTGTTTTTATAATGTTATAATAATGTTAGCACTTGTGGATTTTCATCACAGAGTTTGAAATTGTGGGTTATATTGGCAAAGAGAGGTTTGGGTCTTAATTACGTGGCCTGTTAGAGGAAATCTTAAGCTTCTGGGTTTTAAGAGTAGATGGCGAGAGGTTTATCAACATTAGGAAGAAAAATCCCAAAGTTAATATTCTAAAAATGATGTCACTCTGGCTAAAGCTAAAGACACTGTTGTTCTGCCATGCTCACCTCTAAGACCTCTTCTCCCCTTGGCATGTGCTTACTCAGAGATAAACCAAGCCTTCCTTTTGTAGTTTTTCTCAAGAGAGCAGATTTATACTTTTATTTCTTAAGTTTTACTTCTGGTTCTGGGTAGTTTATTTTTTTAAGCCTCTCCCACCCCCCATTTGTAAATACGAGTAGTTATCTCTACTTGCCAAGGTTGTTGTGAAGAGTAAATGAAAAGCTGAAATGAGGTGACTCAGGCAAAAGTACCAGGCCCAGTGTATATCAGCACACTATGGATGTTACATTCATTCTTATTGCTGAGAATCCAGGAAAAAAATGAATTAAATAATGAGAACGCTTTCATGGGGGTTTTTTGAGTAAAATTTTTTTACATAAGACAATATTTTGTGTAAATACAAAACCATTGGTCAACTCAATAAAATATAGAAAATGAAATTGCTAGTTTCAAAAATCAGAACATATAGTGAGAATATTATAATACCTAATATATACTGTTAGCCAACATAAAACTCCATAAGTATGTTCCTTACTTTTCATCCTAAAACTTGTGATTTTTAAAAATATGTTGATATTACTATGAAAAATCATTATTGCTTATTTCTCTTGATTTACAGAGTATTGTTACAATCACATTTGAAGTACCAGGAAATGCAAAGGAAGAAAGTCTAAATGTATTTATTCAGGTGAATGCAATTTTTAACTGATTAATGTTGTATCCACTGTTTTGTTACATAGTTGTTGCTATTAGCAATGGTTGGTCTTATTAAAATATGTCACTTGATGCAGAATCTCCTGTGGGAAAAGAATGTGAGAAACAAGGATGATCACTGCATGGAGGTCATACGGCTAAAGGTGCAGTATGCAGCTCACTGTTGTGGACTTTTGGACAAAGTCCTTCTCTTGGCTTTTGTATGAAAATCGTATTTGGCTTTATACACTGAGTTTGCCTACTTTGCCTACTTTCGTTTTTCTTTATCATTTTCATTGCTGAAAAGGAGCTTTGGAAATCACTGCATAAAGCGCAATTTATTTGCACACCTTCATTTTAGTGTTGCAGCTACAACAACCTATGTGCTTTGAAATGTTACCTCCTGCTCTCTATTCCCAGGTGTTATGAGTAGTTTTCTGGCTAATGAGCTTGATTCTGTCAAAACTCCTCCTCTTGGGATCCAGACTGGTCACTTAGAGAAAACTGTTTTCCAAGAAAGCTTCAAACTAAAAAGAAATTCAACAGAGAAAAAATGTTGAAAATCTTCCAGCTGCAGAACGTAACGCTTTATATATTTAGCAGATACTAAATATTTGTCAAAGTCCAAACAAAGTTACAAAGGACTAGGATAATTCTTATTCTGTGTTTGGAAACTAATTCATATTACTTGACATTTGTCATGAAAGGTGTTTTTTCCAGGAGGCAGTGGTTGTAGGTGTATGTTTAACCAATCAACAGTTATTTGAGTGTCTACTCTTGTGTGTCCACAAATGTGCATAAAGTTTTTGTTACTACCGTTTATTTTTATTACTGCTAGTAGCTGGATTCTCTCTCCAATTAGCAAGTGACTTCCTGGGGTCACTAGAATGACAGAGGTTGGGGCACTGACCTTCAGATTTAGATTTCTTCACCCGCTGTCCTGGTTCTATCTGAGATCAGCTCCACAGAGCGAAACAGGTGAATCCCTATCTATTTCCAAATCATTCCCATTCAGAGGAACTAAGCCAGATTCTGTTGCTTTATCGACTAGATGCCATGATTCTCATTGGCAGAGTGTATTTCTTTTTGTAGCTGCTTTTATCGCCTAGTATTTGAATGGGAGGTGGTTACATATAAAATCAGCAGTTTGAGCATTTACATTAATGCTGTCACCAAGTTAAGTGGCTTGCCTTGTACCATTCCAGTTTGATTTTGTCCTTAGATGTATGACAGATTTTCTGCAGTTGTCCTCTTTGGTTCTTCTTTGGCCTTTCTCATCACAACACTGAGGGATTCTGAGGCAAAACAATCTACTTCATAGCTTTCCTTCTCTTTCCTGGTACAAAATATTAGTCTTATAGTCATCAACTTGCTTAAAATGTTAACTCTTATAACAGCTTCAAATTGTTTATACAAGTAACACAAAATTGCAGTTCTTTCTAGGGAGTTTGTTATTACAGAAATTCAAATTTGAAAAGCAGAACACCAGACTCGATATAGGAAAAGAAAAACCAGAAGGAAATACACCCAAAATACACAAATAGGCCAAAAATAAACAAAAATTATGTGGCGGGAATGACTAAGAGAGGTTTGTTTCCTACTATTTTAGAAAATTCTTTATGTATGGCAAATATATATAACCATTATTTTAGAGAAATTAGTTGCATAGAAGCCAGTTTATCAGATATTTTGTTTCTCATTTCTGAAAAGCAATGCAAAATGAATTTTACCCAGATAAATATAATCGTTTTTTCTTTATTTCATCATTATCTACTCCATTGATTGCAACCCATTTCTAAAACAAATTATCTAGTATTACCTAAATTCTTTCACTTCTCAAATGTTCCCACTAAAACTGTGAAACAAATATAAAATCCTTAAAAATAAAATTAGGGTATGATGCATAACATGTTTTGTCATTTTGTTTCAGGTTTTGGTTGTGATAACACTGAAAGACATCCTAATAGTGTATTAATTTTATCATTAGAAAAAGATTATTTTAAAAAATTAATGCATAGAAACCTTTTTTAAAAAAATTAGAGGTTTTGAGAAACTTTTAAAAACTAAAATTAAATAATTTTCACATCTTTAAGAGTTTGTATTTTGAAAAGGACTAGCAGTAATTAATCATCATTGATGTTCCATTTCTGCTTTTAAACTTGAGCTGAGGCTAATAATCAGTCAATTCTCCTTTGAGCAGGGGCTGGTGTCAATCAAAGACAAACTACAACAAGTGATTGTCCAAGGTGTCCATGAGCTCTATGATCTGGAAGAGACTCCAGTGACCTGGAAAGATGACACTGAGAGAACAAATCGATTGGTCCTTATTGGTAAGCAGCATAGGATTAAATTTCTAAAGCAAAATAAAAAATAGATTGGAAAGGAATATAATGTGTCACTCAAGCAATATTAACCAATCAAATCCCTGTTTGAAACTACATAGGCTTGTGGTCAATGTATTTGTTTTTATCATGTGATAACTCTCATAAGAACTTGTTAGGTCTTTTACTCTTTTTCAAACAATATTAGAAAAGTGACTAATCCAAGCAACAATTTGGCTTTGAGGGGCTTACCTAGAAAGTTAAAGAAGGAATCACTCAATTACTATTATGTTTGTAAATTTCTGAAGATCATCAAACGTTTAATGATCTGTGTCATTTCAATAAGCATAATATAATTACACTATGTTTTGTTTTGTTTGCAGGCAGGAATTTAGATAAGGATATCCTTAAACAGCTATTTATAACTACTGTGGCAGAAGCAGAAAAACAGTGGACAGTACATTTCAAAGAAGATCAAGTTTGTCTATAACACTAAGAAGCATTTCTTATCAAAAGGATTGGATGATAAAAATGAGAATAAGTTTCCTACTGGGTGTGCTTCAAACATCTATTCGTTACTTTTGTGATTAATTCCAGTATATTTTAAAATAATATTTATTTTACAGAATACATAAAACTTAGTAAATCAGTACTGTAATATATTTGACATTCATACAATAAAATATCCTCTATCCTCTGGAGTATGTTTTGTTTTGGAGGAAGGTATTTCACAAAAATATCTTTCACGGTTGGTTTTGGAGTTTACATATGCTGAATTTCTCGCTCATGGAAGTTATCTATAGTAATGGTGATAATGCCGTCTTCAACATTGTCATTTTTCCTTAGAACTTCAGTTGATTGCAGAGATATAGTGATTATAATATTAACACAGATTTTTAAAAAGCAAGTAAATAATATCACCCCTTTTATTAATCGAAGTAAAGTTTTGTTGTGGCTAGAGATTTAAAGGTGGAAGAAATCTGAGTCAAATAAATTAATTTAAAGTATCTCTTATTCTTAATCAATGCTAAGCCTTATTGATAGTTGGTGTAATGAAACTTTAGCCATTTATTTTTAGTATATTTAGAGGATCCTAATTGTAGAGCTTTAAGTTTTAATTAGATTTTACAACTGATATCAAATTCATCTTGGTTTTGTTGAACTTTAGTTTTTAATATAAGCTGAAAAGTGATGAGGTATAAGATTTCAGCTGTAACTACAGAAAACGTGATAGTTTAACAATCTTTATATAAGTGGTTGGTGTGTATGTATACAATGACTTATTTTTCTCCTATTTCTACTAAAGGCCAAGTCAGCATAACTATCTCCAATTGTAAGAGAAAGCATAGATGAAACTTAAAGAGCATTTTTCCAGACTAATGGTTATTAAAAATCAGAGACAGCTGTCAAAATGGCTTTTGGAGTTTTTCCTCCAGAATTTTAAATAAAGGAGTTACATCTGTGTATTCTGAATGGTTGCAGTGTTTGGAGGCAGAAGGCTAATTGATGAAATTCTCTCAGGTTGGTATTTTCTTGTCTCCAATATAACTGCTCTATATTCATCCTGTTGCCTCCTGAATCCATCCTCTTAAATCATGGTTGACAGAATACACTTATTTTGTGGCAGCAAATTGACCACTAGAAAGTCAGCTAACTTTCGAGTAAGATCTGGCCTTTAATTCTAGCATTTCTCCTCTTGACCGTGTAATCTTGGGAAAGTATTTACTTTGAGATTAGTGTCCTTATTTATAAAGTGGATAGTGGTTGTAACAACCATTCAAGGTTTAGATCGTTTTGTAATACACCCAACTCGGCTCCTGACATGTAGCAGTGCCTAGGTAAATGTTTTCCTCTTCCCAACAATTTATATTATTTGTTGCAAAATTAATCTGGTCACAATAATAGTTAATATTCTTTGACAAATAATAAGTATCTAGATCTATCTGTTCTTGACCATGAAAAAGGCCTTGTAATTAGTTGTTCTGTTGTGAAGGAATTTTTGAAATAATATTAGCCTATGCTTTGTTTTTCCTTTAAAATATATTCATCTTTAAAGTTTTTCATTATACAAGTATTGCACAAATACATTTTTGTTGCAAAAGTGATTCCTGTCACTCTCAGGGCTAAACCAAAGTTCTTTCCTTTAAGATATTTCTTTTCACTTTCACATTAAGTTTTTTAAAGTAAATTATTTTCCAATGATCAGAGCCACAGTTGCTTCAGGGAATGTAGAAACTTGTCATCAAGGTCTTCAAGGGAAAGTTTTAATTTTATGTGCGTGTATGTTAAAACTTCATTTTTATGTATCATAATGCAGTTTGCTTAAAAAAACAAACTCAACTCTTAGATCTTTTCATGATAGTGTATATAAATCTGTCTTATTTTTTGACTACTGCATAGAAATTCACAGTCTAACTTAGAACACATTCATTGAAAAAAAAGACAACAAACACACAGAGAAAGCTTCCAGTTTGCCTACATATTAGTGCTGGGGCTGAAGTTGCACACAACAGATAAAAGCCAGGTACTCATATTGCTTACTTTCTGGTAGAACATAAATAAATGAAAAAAAGGAGGTAACCCTAAGCGGTTGATGAAATATCAGCTTTAGATTGAGTGACCATGGAAAGCCTTTCTGAGGATAAATGGCTTTTGAGACTCGATTTAAAAGAAGGAATCATTTATGTAAAACAGGAGAAAGCCTTGTATAGATGAATCTGGTAGTACAAAGGCTCTTGAAGTGGGCACCAGCCCAGGGTGTTGGGAGACCAGGAAGAAGGCAAGGGATAAGTTGAAATTGTGAGCCTGGGTTGAGTTTGTTACTACTCATAGGACAGAGTAAACATTTGGATTATTTTGAATACCCAGGGAAGTGATGTGAGCATGAGTGCTGTGGCAGATGAACTAACTTTCTGCTTTTGAAATTGCAAATGGCCGGGCTTGGTGGCTCAGCTGTAATCCCAGCAATTTGGGAGGCCGAGGTGAGTGGATTGCCTGAGCCCGCGGATTTGAGACCAGCCTGGGCAACTTGGTGAGACCTCGTCTCTATAATAAATCAAAAATTAGCCGGGTGTGGTAGTGCACGCCTGTTTTCTGGCTACTTGGAAGGCTGAGGCGGAAGGATCCCCGGAGCCCAGTAGGTCGACACTGGGGTGACCATGAGCATGCCACTGCTCTCCAGTTTGGGCGATGGAGTGAGACTCCCAAAAAAAGGAAAATAAATTGCAAACAATGCTGCAGGGAACATTGTTGTGCACGCATGCCTGTTTGGTGTGTGCATGTTTCTTTAGAATGGATATATAAGAGTAGAATCACTAGCACATTTTAAATTATTAGTGAATGCTGTAAGTTGCCCTTCCAACAGACCTTTTACCTTATACATTAGTATGTGAAAGTACCCATCTTCTCAAGCGTAACTAACACATTTGAACTTTTGCCATCTGGATGTCACTATTTTATTTGGGGTTTTAAACCAATTTTATGTTGTTCACATAAAAAGCACTGTACTGCTTTTTATTCTGATTTTACCCCAAGTTAAGTATTTTCTTATGATCAGAGTTATAGTTTATTTAACCTGTATTTTCAGGAGACTTGGAACTTGCTATAGATATAGCTGTCCCTTTACCAGAATGTAAGAGAAGCTTTTGTTTTTATAATACAATCATCATAATAATGTAGACCATTCTGCTTGCTATAGACGATTTGCAGGGTATGAATAATGATGGTAGTGATGACCAAGGGTAAGGCATGGTTCATCCAAACTGTATCGCTTACTTGAGGATACAGGATAAATTACTGTCTCTCTGAGCCTTTGCCTTCTTATTCATAAAATGGAGATAGCAATGCAAATATCTCTGAATAGCACCCTGAATGTAGAGTCTCAACAAATGTGAATTTCCCTTTTCTAGTAAGGCTTGAAAGACGATTCAAGCTTCTACACACCTTAAAGCAGATGCTTCTTTCCAAGACTTTCTCCAGCTATGAGTGGAACTGGTATTGAGTTTAAGATAGCTGTAGAAAGGGGTAGCACAAGGTGTGAGGGAAGACCAGGTGATCAAAAGGGTCAACTTGGTATAAGAGCTGGCTGTCTCTCGGTTTCCCCTCTTGGAGTGGCTATCAATAGTGTGTGAGTTAGAAAAGACCCTCCAAATAGCTCATTTCCTCTTGTTAGATGACTAAGCAGGCTTTGTACCTGAAGGACTTTCCAGTATTCTTTCTTTTTCTGATTGTTGCTTCAGATACACAGTATTTTGATTGTTTTGTTATAGAACTGTGGGTAGAAGTTGAGATTAAACAAAAGAATCCTTCCTGTTGTCTATAATCCCCAGATTGTGAGTTTTGAAGGCAGTTGTTAGTAAAATTAAGCTAAAATGCTTTAAAGATGATACTGATCAATACGTTGTAATAGTATGAATTAGGTTGCTTTCTATGAATTGAATAAATTTGTTCCCTTGGATTACTGGTAAAGGTGAGAAAACTTTATTTTTAGGTTGCTTTGAAATAACTTCCCTGGTTGTAGAAATGCCATACATTAGTGGGGGTGATGTGAAAAGAAGTGAATTCTGCCTTTGGACATCTGGCAACTCGAGCTGCTTTGATGAGAAAGAAAGATGCTCTGGAGTTCTTTTCTCAGAATTTGTCTTCCAATTAGAATCAACCTTACCTGTAATTCTGATGACCAAATTGTGTTTAATTTTTTAGGTTGAAATAGAAAGAAACAAGACGTCATCATCCTTCCATTAGGTTAGTTTTGTTTTTGTTTTTGTTTTTTTTTGAGTTGGAGTCTCACTCTGTTGCCCAGACTGAAGTGCAGTGGCCGCTCCCGGCCACCACAGCCTCAACCTGCTGGGCTCCGATTATCCTTCTGCCTCAGCCTTCCAAGTAGCCGGAATTACAGGCATGTGCTACCACGCCTGGCTGATTTTTTTTTTTTTTTTTTTTATTGTAGAGATGAAGTCTCACTGCCCAGGCGGGTTTCGAACCCGCGGGCTCAGGCAATCCACTCACCTCAGCCTCCCAAAGGCGCAGGATTACAGGCTGAGCCACCAAGCCCGGCCATTAGGTTAGTTTTAAAAGGTTTGTTTTTCAAACTAGGATGGCATCTTATGAGCACCTGATATGTTTGTAATGAAAAACAAAAAGAATTCAGCCTCGGGAAGGAAGTAAATAATCACCAGACATTACTAAGTGCCCATCATGTACTAGGCCCCAGGTTGAATGTTGCAGAAACAAACAATAAGAGACTTGATTCTTGAGGCAACACAATGGAATTATGGGTCAGGACAGTAAGAGTTCCTTTCTTTTTCTTTCTTATATAGAGTGATGAGCCATTATGGAGTCTTTCCCAAGCATCCAGCTTCGTTTTCATTGCTATAGCTTTTTGTTTTGACATCAACATATTTGGTGTAAAAACTTCCTCTAGATACAATTCACGCACCATAAAATTTGCCCTTTTTAAAGTATACAATTCATGGTTTTTAGTAAATCTACTGTTTATTTATTTATTAATTTATTTGAGTTGGAGTCTCACTCGGTTGCCCAGACTGGAGTGCAGTGGCCGCTCCCGGCCACCGCAGCCTTGACCTGCTGGGCTCCAGCGATCCTTTCGCCTCAGCCTTCCGAGTAGCCAAAGTTACAGGCATGCGCTACCACACCCGGCTGATTTTTGATTTATTGTA